AAAATCCTGTGAGAAATCTTTAGAATAAAACCCACCAAAGTAAATTGTCATAATTGTATGCAATACTCACATTTTGATCGCGCTAATTTTCTAGGATTTCCTGACTTTGGGTGAAACCTCTGTGTCATGGGCCCTAAAAATGAAGAAAATTATTAACCAATACCAATGTAACAGTTTAAAACTTAGCAACCCAGGCTCATGAAAAAATGTGAACCTGTGGAGAAAATAATTTTTGAAAAAAAAATTATATTGTGGCAGTTTCAGTGCATTTAATTTTCTTTGAAACAGTTTAACATGACTGTCTGTGGCTACATTTTATTACGTTGTGTCACGTGAACCATGTTTTGTTACCCAGACCAGGCAACCCTGAGTGCAACCAAGTGTGCTACCGAGCAAGTTTACTACATCAGAAAAGCCATACAGTACATGTGGAGTTGGTTACATGATGCAAACGTCAAAATGTATTAGTTTAAAAATCCTGCACTATGGCAAGAGTGTTTTAAGTATTTGTATTTGTTGGTGTTTTATTGCTACAAGTGTTCATTTCAGCTGGAAACTGTTGCAAAATGTATGTAAGTTTTTGGAGTTTTGCATGTTTTAAAGGTGGAGTTTGTAATATTGACAGCTAGAGGTTGAAATGGATATTGCAGTTTTTTTCCCGTCCCCTCCTCTTCAGTCTCGATGCTCACATGGGTGGTCAAATTGAGGACACACAACATAAAGCCTTACACTGTAAGTTGATGAGTTGATTTATCTGTGTGTTAATATGCCTCTGGTCATAGAGTTTTTTTAGACAGATGGCGAGGCTTTTGAGGTTGGGTAGAATCTGCAACCTATGACCCAGTACGTTTGCTGGCATTTTTTCTGCCAACTGGCAACCCAGTGTGCCAAATCATTATAAGGTAAATTGACAGTAAGTGAAAACACAGACCAAAACAAAAACTCCAAGTTCCAAGATGGAACACCCATTTCAAACCAGAATAACTGGCTGTAGCATTGTTTTTTAGAGAAACAAGTATGTGAAGTTAGCATGTTTTCTAAATATCTGCAAACATATTATATATAAGACACATTTCCTAAAAATCTACAATGCTCCCAATTAAACATTCAAAGCTACAATATAAAATGTAAAAAAAATTATAATAATAACTTCAATGAATGTAACCTGTAGCATGCTATTGTAGTCCATCTAAATTACAGTAGGTGTGGAAGTAAAAGAAACTTTCCTGAAGGTAAAGTAATAGTCAGAGTAGAGAATCTCCTTTCTATCACAAATACAGTGGAGTAGCTGTTGTCAGGCAGTAGAGGGAGACATTGTGCTTTGCCGAGGGAAGATAGAAGAAGAGACGATTATGAAACAACATTGGTGATATGTTTGTACACCATTAGTTAGGTAGTTGTGATGGGATCATATATCCCCTACTCTGGCCTCTTTACATTTGTTACCAGTTAATTTTAGGATAAAGTATAAGGGAGTTTTTGTGGAATGGTTTACCAATGTCTTAGATTCTCTACCTCTGTTTAAAACCTGCCTTAAGAGGTATTTGACCTACAGAATGCTGCAGTATCTCTTTAAATGTTGTGCTATTGTGAAACATTTTAACTGTATGGCATTATCAAATAATTTTCATGTAGCTCATAGACCAATTCGGAGTAGACGTCACAGTTACATCACTTGCAGCTGCGCGCGCATCGTTGTGGCAGAAAAACACTGGTAACAAGTGGAGGGACATGGGTAAAATCCATGGAATAAGAAGGAAAAAAATTTATTGTTGTGCTTTTGGATGTCAGAATCAGAATGCAAGTCATTTTTTATATAATACTGTCGTCAAAGACGCCATTTGAAGCTAAACGCAGACGATCAATCAGATGATTCAGCATAAATTTGATTTAAACAATAGGTCTACATAATATTCACATATGCAGTTCATAGGGGACATATTCTATTTGCCCTACAGTTACAGCATGAAATAGCCTACTAAACCACGTGTCTTGTGTAAAATTATGGTGTTAAATAACTGTAACACTGGAATCGTATAGCAATTTCAAGTTACATGTGTGACTATGTTGGATTTGTCTGTCTCTGCTGTGGAACCCTCGGCTATTTTCCATATAGCTACAGTAATCCATGTACAGAGACGGTACACAGTTTTCTTTCAGCATAAAAAAAGTGCACCCATCGGTCCAACGACGGTAGCCTAATAATGCATGTTACTTGTGCTTCTGCAAAGTTCACTTAATTTATCAGGATTTAGTTTCAATTTTAGTCTAGCTCTGTGTTTAGTCTGACTCCAGTTTTCAAGTGATCATTAAATTTAGACTGTATTTCTAATTAAAAACTGATCACAAACATGGATTATCACAGAAACATTGAGGTGAAATGTCTCCCGTTAGAAGAGAGCTTGAGCAAAATGTCACACTATTTACTTTCACTTTCACTTTCACTTGTGACTCACGTGACGCTGTTTCTCTCCGGAAGGAGGCGCTGTGGCTCCGAGATGACCTGCAAATGATTACAATGATTATTAACAATATAACTTGTTAAACTGTTTTATACAGCGTTGTAAACCGGTTTTTAAAAGTTTTTCAAATGTCCTCCTAAACCTAAATTTTTAAATTGTATTCTTTTTAAACATATTTTGCCTTATTTTCCATCATACCATGTGTCTTCAAACCATAGTGTGTCAGTGGTGGCATGGCACATGGCCTGGCTGCATTTTCAGTCTGTTAATGAGTCTTAACAGCTTTCTGGAGTGAGACCAGGACACAACAGGAAAAACCCTGGCTTTTACCACCACTGCCTTCTCTGGCAAGAGCAAAAAGGAAATAAATTCATGTAGCAATTACTTTTCATGGTCCTCAGAAGTACCGGAGATCTCTGTTGCCTCTTTGGGGGTGGGTGGGATGTTGGATGGGGTTGGCCAAAGGAATCCAAAACATGGCAGGCATATGCATATTGAGTTCCTGAACCTTTTTTTTTTTTACTTGATCGGACAATCTGTATAGACCGATTTGGAGTAGACGTCACAGTTACGTCACTTGCAGCTGCGCACGCATTGTGGTGGCAGAAAAACACTAGGAACAAGTGGAGGGGAATGGGTAAAATCCATGGAATAAGGAAAAAAATTTATTGTTGTGCTTTTGGATGTCAGAATCAGAATGCAAATCATTTTTTTAATATAATACTGTCGTCAAAGACGCCATTTGAAGCTAAACGCAGATGATTAAACAGATGATTCCGCATAAATTTGATTTAAACAATAGGTCTACATAATATTCACATATGCAGTTCATAGGGGACATATTCTATTTGCCCTACAGTTACAGCATGAAATAGCCTACTAAACCACGTGTCTTGTGTAAAATTATGGTGTTAAATAACTGTAACACTGGAATCGTATAGCAATTTCAAGTTACATGTGTGACTATGTTGAATTTGTCTGTCTCTGCTGTGGAACCCTCGGCTATTTTCCATATAGCTACAGTAATCCATGTACAGAGACGGTACACAGTTTTCTTTCAGCATAAAAAAAGTGCACCCATCGGTCCAACGACGGTAGCCTAATAATGCATGTTACTTGTGCTTCTGCAAAGTTCACTTAATTTATCAGGATTTAGTTTCAATTTTAGTCTAGCTCTGTGTTTAGTCTGACTCCAGTTTTCAAGTGATCATTAAATTTAGACTGTATTTCTAATTAAAAACTGATCACAAACATGGATTATCACAGAAACATCGAGGTGAAATGTCTCCCGTTAGAAGAGAGCTTGAGCAAAATGTCACACTATTTACTTTCACTTTCACTTTCACTTGTGACTCACGTGACGCTGTTTCTCTCCGGAAGGAGGCGCTGTGGCTCCGAGATGACCTGCAAATGATTACAATGATTATTAACAATATAACTTGTTAAACTGTTTTATACAGCGTTGTAAACCGGTTTTTAAAAGTTTTTCAAATGTCCTCCTAAACCTAAACTTTTAATGCTGTTTAGTTATCTGACAGCTGAAATATGCCTAAATCACTCATTTGTGTGTGTGTGTGTGTGTGTGTGTGTGTGTGTGTGCTGGTTTATATAACCTGGTGGGGACTTAAACCTGACTACACACAGACTCATGGGGACTCGTGTCAAGAGAGAGAGAGAGAGAGAGAGAATGTATAGCCTACATTATGGGGACCAAATGTCCCCGCAAGGATAGTAATAATAAAGTTTGACGTCGTAGGGACATTTTTTGGTTCTCATGAGAAAAATAGTTTTACCTGTCTGTTTGTGTGAGGGGTTATGGGTATGGGTTAGAGTAAGGGCATAGAAAATACAGTTTGTACAGTAAAAAACTATTACGCCAATGGAATGAACTCATAATGATATGAATACCATACCAGTGTGTGTGTGTGTGTGTGTGTGTGTGTGTGTGTGTGTGTAGCGCGCGGGCGCATGGAACTAACATGGACTAACAGAAGGACTAGCCTCGTAGTGAAGGGAAGTCTGACTCATTTCTGTGAATCTTTCTCACTGCTTGTTTCAATTAACCAGTTCAAAAAATAAAAAAAAGATTCTATTACATCTGTACATCACCACATGGTCCCTTGCATCCTGGCGTGGCATTTTACATGCTCAAAAAATGTCCTAAAAACCCATATGTAGGCACATATTGCAGTTAATTGTTTCATTTAATTGTTAATGAAATCGAGGGGTGAGAACCAGAAGGGCGTAAGTGACATTTTGGTTGAAATGGAGATATGTATATCAAATGAAAGCTCTTGATGAGCTCTTTCTACTGCCAAAAGGACACAAGTGAATTCTTAATCATTTTGGAGTTATTCATTAGAAACCAAAAGACTTAACTCTGAACATACTAAGCCTGTTGGTTTTTGTTTTGGCCCTCCTGTAAAGTTGGTGAAATGTCTGGTTCTCACCCCTCGAAATGGCTGTCCTCTTTTTGTTGTTCGCGCGTCCACAACCCGAAAGGATATTCACCTTTTCAGACTTCAGTCTCGTGCAGCGGCGTGTTTGTGTTTGTAGATGATCTTGTTTCCAGATGTGTTCTGGTAAAGTGTTTCTTTAGAAGTGTTTTATGAGAATATTAGCTCATCTGTATGTAAAGCGCAAGTTCTTGGATCTGTATCTTTGTTTGCTGCTGATGTTCTCTGTGAACGCGATCGTCGGTCGGTTTGATTTGATCAAAAAGTTCAAAGCAACAGATCGACGGACCGCGGCGCTGAAAACTGAAACGAGGATTCTGAACGGGTTTGCGTTCTGATGGAGTATTATACACATTCATCAAAGAGAAAGTTTTTGCAGCTGTGTGAAGGCAACGGAACTGGAAAATCAGCCGGAGACCGATGAACAGAAGCGAGGCTGATTCCTCATTCCGCGTCCCGTTATATTCTGTTCCGGTCTGAAGAGCCTGTTTTTCGGTCATGTGTTCACTGAAAGCTCTTCAGGACTGGTGTCGAGATGTTTGTGAAGGTTACTCTGATGTTCTGGTCACAGACATGCGCTCTTCATTCACAGATGGACTGGCTTTCTGTGCGATCATCCACAGACACAGACCCGATCTACTGTAAGAATCAGCACTGACTCATGAGTCGTGAAGCATTATATGCTGCATGATATGAGACAAAACTAGTTCAGTAGTAAAACTATTACACTTTACCACAATGTTAAACATAACTATTTTAATACCTGCTTGATTTATATACAGAATGAAGCAATGATGAAATAATGAAGTTAAATTGTATTAAATTTCATGTATGTGAGTGTGATTTAATAATATAGAAACATATGAAATATTATCTTAGGTGCATATTTTAACTACAGTCCTAAATATATTGATTGATTGATTGATTGATTGATTTGACATCCAAACACACTCCTCCAGCCCCAAATTGAAAACTCTTGGTCTTATTCAAATGTATACATCAGCAGTGTTTTCTGGTCTGTGTAGAAACACGTCTTCCTCCTCAGTTTCTTCTCATATCCAGATGTGTTCTGCATGTGTCTGATGTATCTTCAGCTCTCTGTTTGTTTCTCTCGGCAGAGATTTTCACTCACTGTCCAAACACAATGTCTACAAGAACATGCGTCTGGTGAGTTTCTGTAGACATCAGCTGGACTTTAAAAATGTTGAACCGTCACATGTGAGATGGAGGAATCTGTTAAGAAAAAGTCTCAAAAGAGCTTCATTTATTGTTAGAAATAGCAATAAACCATCTCAGATCTCAGGGAAGCCTGTACCTGTGATGTTCTGGTTAGTTTGTCCATCTCATGTCCTTTATTCCTCTTCATCAGGCGTTTGACGTTGCGGAGCGTGAGCTGGGAATTCCTGCTCTTTTAGATCCGGATGAGCTGGTGTCTGTGGAGGAGCCGGATCATCTGTCCATCATCACTTACGTCTCTCAGCTCTACTGTTTCTTCAGAGGAAACTCTCACGGTACTGATCATGACAGACCATCAACCGCTGAAGATCTCACATGTTTATTCATTAGAGCTGAAATTTGTCATTTTATTCATTGATAATCTCTGGATTTGATCAGTCAGTCAGAAGATTCCAGTGAACAATGAATCCAGCAGCACCAAAACACAAGACCAGACACACACTCGGGTATCTATCTATCTATCTATCTATCTATCTATCTATCTATCTGTCTGTCTGTCTGTCTGTCCATCTGTCTGTCTTTTTGTCTGTCTCTCTGTTTATCCGTCTCTCTGTCTGTCTGTCTCTCTGTTTATCCGTCTGTCTGTCTGCCTCTCTGTCTGTCTATCCATCTGTCTATCTGTCTCTCTCTGTCTGTCTTTCAGTCTGTCTGTCTGGCTCTGTTTATCCATCTGACTGTCTGTCTCTCTGTCTGTCTTTCCATCTGTCTGTCTGTCTCTCTGTCTATCCATCTGTCTATCTTTCTTTCTGTCTGTCTGTCTCTCTGTCTGTCTGTCTGTCTGTCTCTCTGTATATCCTTCTGTCTTTCTGTCTGTCTGTCTTTCCATCTGTCTGTCTCTCTGTCTGTCTTTCCATCTGTCTGTCTGTCTCTCTGTCTATCCATCTGTCTATCTTTCTGTCTCTCTGTATATCCTGCTGTCTTTCTGTCTGTCTGTCTTTCCATCTGTCTGTCTTTCCATCTGTCTGTCTGTCTCTCTATCTATCCGTCTGCCTGTCTCTCTGTCTATCCATCTGTCTATCTGTCTCTGTCTATCTGTCTGTCTTTCCATCTGTCTTTCAATCTGTCTGTCTTTCCATCTGTCTGTCTCTCTGTCTGTCTTTCCATCTGTCTGTCTCTCTGTCTGTCTTTCCATCTGTCTGTCTGTCTCTCTATCTATCCGTCTGTCTATCTTTCTGTCTATCCGTATGTCTGTCTGTCTCTCTGTATATCCATCTGTCTGTCTGTCTGTCTCTCTGTATATCCGTCTGTCTTTCCCTCTGTCTGTCTGTCTCTCTGTTTGTCTGTCTGTCTTTTTGTATGTCTGCCTGCCTGTCTGTCTGTTCATCTGTCCACTAGTCTGTCTGTCCGCCCGTCTTCTTGTCCATCCGTCTGTCTGATAATTCATCTCTCTGCTGTCATTCTCTCAGTTCTCATCAGATGTGATCAGGTCTTCAGATAAGCGAGTCTGTAGTGTCTGTCACACATGTGTTCATCTCATTCAGAGGGTTTTGGTGAAGGGACGCCTGTATCACCGCTCCTGCTTCAGGTAAAACACACACACTCACACACACACACACACACACACATACTGTCACAAACACACTCACTCTCTCTATCTCTAAATACACACTCTCTGTCTCTCACACACGTGTTTGTTTCACTATTAGTGAAGACATTGCATATACTTCCATGACTTCCATTGTTTTTATATCAGGTTAGTGATATTTTTATGGCCTAACCCAACCCCTAAACGTACCCATCACAGAAGCCTGTGCAAAACACAAGATTTAAATGGAAAGATTAGATTCAAATAAAATCAATTTTGGCTGAGTTTAAAAGGCTTTTTAACTAGCAAGAACCAGTCAAATGTCTCTAGTCATGTCCTGATTGTCTCCCGGTGTGTTTCAGATGCAGTCGCTGTCGTCGCGCTCTGCTGCCGATCTCTTTCACAGTGGACAGTGAGACGGGTTCACTGCAGTGCAGTTATCCCTGCAGACCTGCTTCTGAACACGACCGGACCGCAGATCACTCACAGAACGACACCAGTCAGACGGATGGAGACAGGAGAGAGACCGATGGAGACGTGGTGAATGATGGACGTCTCTCCACCTCATCAGAGACTGATCTACAAGAACCTCCCAAACCTGCTCCCAGAAAGAGGGCGGAGCCTCAGGAACCTCCTCGCCCCGCCCCCAGATCACCAGATCATCGCCCTGAAAACGGTTAGAATCTTCATCCCTGTGTTACTATATTACACTTACTATTGTTACAGTGTAAACATCATCAAACAGACACATTCTACATTCTGATTGGATGAGCCAAAACTACTTACACATTTAGAGTAGCTGTTCAGTAATAATTAATGATTAATGCATTTATTTGTTGTCAATAATTTTGTCGTCACGTTTACTAATGATTAGCCTGTTGTTTTATTGTTTTTTGTTGAGTGTTATTTGTGAGCATCCATGTGAATAGGACAGAAAACATGAAATACATAATATTGAATAAATTAAAACTATATAAAGGAATATATGCATAGAAGCATTTTTGGGTTGAAAGAGTTCACACTTACTAAAACAACCATCTTATTTAATTTATCTGGATATATCATTATTACCATTGTCTCGTGTGTTTTTCTCGTTCTGGTCTCAGTCTCGTCTCAGAGCGCCGTTCGTAAGGAACATCCCTGGATGAAGCTGGTTGATCCGGGTCCCTGGTATCGTCTTCCTCCGGCTCCGGGTCCATCCGTTCATTCACACCGCCGGCCCTCAACCTTTAACCCCTTCCTGGAGGAAGATAAGGACGAGTCCAATGATGAAGAGGTACTGAATGAAGGAAGTTTCTGAAGAACTGACACAAACCAGCACTGGTTCTTCACTAGGTGAAGCTGGTTTATATTTAGTCTCCTCTAGTTTAGACGAGTCATGTGATCGCCAGGCTGGGAATAGAGTTGCTGCTGTTAGCAGGTTAGCAGAACCGTCAGTATCAGGTCAGTCAGTATCAGTGAGAAACACACTGTCTGTGACTCATTTCAGCAAATGATCAGCTATAAACAATAAAGAAAGGGAAGGTCAAGAACCTCAAACTTCACCTAATTCATCGTCCAGTTATCATGAGATCAGATCCGAGTCTAGACCTTCAGAGACCAGACTAGACCTGAGTCCCAAATTCAGACCTAGAACCAGGATCTCCACTTTAATGAACTGAAACAGAGAACATGGTGCAGCTTTGTTTCCCTTTTCAGAGTCATGCGATTTCTCTCTAATGTTAAACCTGTGGTTGAGGCGATTATCACTTTTATCTAGTTAGTTGATGTGTGTGAGCTTCAGTCAGTCAGAGAACCAGACAAACAGACATCTGACGCTCAGACTGAAGAGTCAGCTTGTGGATGTGGGTTGTTATTTTTCTCTTTGCAGTCTCACAGGATATTGTTTGTGTGTGTGTGTGTGTGTGTGTGTGTGTTTTATTTCTGATGTGACTCTGCTAGAGATCAATAACCATCAGATCAGCAGGACTGAAGCTTGTTTGTTTAGAATCAGAGGCGTAGTTTGTGTAGTTATGGTGTGTGTATGTGCGTGCGTGCGTGTGTGTGTGTGTGTGTGTGTTTCAGAGAATCTTCTAGTCGACTGGTTCCTTCTGATTCATGAGAAGAGCATGTTGGTGCGCAGAGACACAGAGCTGGTGTATATGTGAGTAACACACACACAGATACATGTTGAGCAGAATAATGTGTGTGTAATGTGACGTGTTTGTGTGTGTGTGTGTTTTCAGGGTGAAGCAGCAGCGTCTGGAGGATCAACAGGTTGATGTGGACTCTGAGATCAGACGCCTCTTCAACAAGCCAGGTGAGCAGAAACTAAATAAATCAAGTTTATACATGTGAACATGTTTGTGTTGCAGTGGTTTAATAGTGATTAGTGTGAATTCTGCTTTAATCTGATATGAACTGATCTGAGGATGACGTGTCAGTAGTTTGTAGTTGATTGTGAATGTGTGTGTGATACTCAGAGCAGGACTGGAGCTCAGACGACAGACGACAGGAGCATCAGCTGATGTCACGCCTGCTGTCAATCATCCAGCAGAGGAATGACATCATCAGCAGCCTGGATCAGGACAGGAAGAGGTCAGAGGTCACCTGATCAGCAGTGTGAGGTCACGTGATAATCGTGTGTTATTGATGGATGTGTTTGTGTTCTTCATCAGGGAGGAGGAGGAGGACGAGATGCTGACGGCTGTGATCCAGAGGATGGGTGAGAAACACCTTCAGTTCAGTTCATCAGAGACAGTGTTGCTTATCGTTTTTACTGCTTTAACACTGTGTCTCTCTCTCCAGAGCTCCTGACACAGACGGACAAACAGCCGGACAAATGCAGCAGGTTTAAACCTCTTCAGATGTTCAAGAAATCCAGCCGTAAGACTGAAAACACCAGCAGAAGAAAGAAGAAAAACAGCTGAAGAACAGAAAGAGACTTAAGATGCTTATTCAGAAATGTACAGTAACGGTAAAAACACCCTTCAGGACAAACTGAACTGTTTCTACCCCTTTTGTTTATTTTTACACTTATATATCTGTATTTTATATTATTTGTATAATTATTATTATATGACGCACTTTTATAATTAACCAGGAAAGTTTCTTCTTTTAAAACTAGGATATTTGTGCGAGATGATTTGGAAAATGTTCCATTAACGTTTCCTCAACATATAGTTTCTGTGAACATCTCTGCTACTCAAGCCAATTTATATTTATTCGAAATAAAAATATATTTTGTGATATGTTTTGTGATATAGTTGTGTAAGTGTTTTTATGGCTAACTGGGGAAACAGCTGTAACATAAGAGTTCATCATTAGATACTAAAACTATCCAAACTTTTTTTAGGGGTGTTTCTACATGATTATATTTCTGCATGATTATTAGCCCAGTAAATGACAATATCATTATTATTTAATTGTGCTACAGTAAATGCATGTTCAAATGGCAGACCTACTTCACGTTTAACAGCTTCTAAAACAAAAAATTACATACATGACTTGGATTTTCAGTACAGTGCTTCTTTATTTCAGTAAACAGCAGCAGTTTTCGATCTGCTCGAGACTGTCGGGTGTTTGAGGGCATTTTTACACGTCCTGTTCAAGCCTGTCAGTGCTTGTTTTCATCGTGGCCTTTATTCTCCTCGGCAAGATTTAATCGTCATTTAAAAAGGACATCGTTGCAATCTCTGTCTGACTGCAGATTTAATCAGAGACAGCTGCTTCACATCAAAATGTTTCTCAAGGGGAAAAAATACAGCAGGTTTTGAATTAGAATATATAGACACTAAATCTAGTTTTCCATGCAACTACAGATGTATATCACAATTGTCATTGGATGGTAGAAATAAAAACTAGCATTCTATTTAAAGTGAAAATAAGCGTTATAAAAATTTTGCTAAGCATAAATTTAGTTAGGAATAATAATAATATGGTTGCATAGTTTACAAATATGTAACTATGAATTTATAAAATGAGAAAAAAAGCCCACCCTTCTATAGCTGGCTAATGCATAAGCTGACATTAACAAATGAGATTGTATTGTAAAGTATTACCATTAAAACTGTTAGAAATTCAACAACCATATAAAGTCAAAAAACAAAATGCATTACAGCTCTGGGTTTCTGTATGAAAGTGTTTATCATATCTAATCTATATAGAAAGGGTTTATTGTATTTAAACTGGGTTTTATAAAGGCACACTTGGCTGTATTTAAAACTTGTCTCTAGAGAGCAAAACTTACACTGTGGAAGCTTCTGTCACGAAAACAAATTCCTCGTACGTGTAAACATACCTGGCAATAAAGCTCATTCTGATTCTGATTCTGATTCTGATTCAAAAATATGTGTTTTCATAAAGAGATGAATGTCTGTAGAGGAGCGATTGTGTGAAAAGGCCTTATATGGCAATGATCTAGAGATATGCTACCAAACGGTGTTCATCCGCTTCCTTATCTACATCAGAAGAATTTAAAAACAACTTTAGGCTCATATAATCTTGAGAATCTGGCAAAATTTACACTCAAACCAACGATTCTATACAATTAAATTAGTCCATGTGCATGTTTACAAAAGAAAACACACACATTCTCTTTCTGATCATTCTGATCATGTGATTTCACCAACCACAGTGTGTTTACGTGTCTATATAAAGCCCAGCAGAAAGATGTCATTTGTTATTTGGACTTCAGAAGAAGGACAGATTGACTTACAAAGAGAGACATCAGCTCTCAGGTTTGACTTCATTGCTGATTATGAACCATTTAATCAGTTTGTTTTTAATTCCTCTCATTTTTTTAATTAATCAGAATGACTTCATTTGCCATGAAGTTAGCCTCAAATGTAAAAAAATATGTGCTAATATCCACCAACTTGCTACATTCTGCAACAATGCTTTTTCATCTAGCATCTGCAAAACTCAGAAATAAATCAATGTGCCTTGATATGCACAAATAGTGTTTGTGAAAACAAATGTTCTCTTTTATGTTAATGCTCCATGATCTGTGCATGCGTCACATTTCTAAAACATTTCATAAGCTGTTGATAAAACTAATGTAGAAAATGTTTATTTGCCTGTTGATAAGTGATACTTCTTTAACTTTGACAAAAATGAACATTTATTTCAAGGTGCTGCCAAAATGTAAAATTGTAATAGAACTGTAAAGGTAAAGATGAAAATGTTAAAGGCATCCAATGAAAAACAAAAAGAGAAGAGATTAGAGGGAATATTATACATCTTTTCAAATCCTCTATGCTGTCTCACAGTATTTACTACTTAATTTTAGGTCACACATCAATAATGGAACCAAATGCACATTTAAACTTGATTTTACTGGGGACAGCACAAGCTGGAAAGAGTGCGTCAGGAAACACAATACTGGGACGACAAGCTTTTGTGACAAATGAAAGCCCCTTTTCAGTCACACAAGATGTTGCTGTTGTGTCCGGGACCATCTTTGGGATTCCAGTCACTGTTCATGACACACCAGGATTATATGAGACTCAGATCAACGAGAATCAGATGTTGCTCCAATATAGTATAGAGTACTTTCCAGAAATGTGAATCTGGTGCTTGTGTGTTTCTGCTGGTCATCAAAGCCGACAGATTCACTGCAGAAGTGTGTGTGTGTGTGTGTGTGTGTGTGATTAAAACGGGAAAGATGCTAATATTCTAACATTTAAATGACTACTTGCATCTCTTTTGTGTTTAATACAGCATCAGAATGAGGGATGCAAGTTACAACGTTCACTCTTGATCTTTATGTCACTGGTTATTTTTCCAGAAGGATTGTTCTTCTGGGTAAAACTGGTGTTGGGAAAAGTGCAGCTGGAAACACAATACTGGGACAGAAAGAGTTCAGATCTGCGAGGAGAATGATTGCAGTAACCCATGAATGTTCAGTGAAACACGGCATTGCTTCAGACAGATCTGTGTCTATAGTTGATACTCCTGGATTCACTGACACATTGATGGAACCTGAAGAGTTAGCGAGGAGTGTTTATTTATCCAAAGACTATATAAACCAGCTCTGTGTCTCTAGATCAGGGGTGTCAAACTCAATTCCTGGAGGGCCGGAGCCCTGCAGAGATTAGTTCTAACCCTGCTCCAACACACAGTCCATGTAGTTTTCAAATAGGATGTAGTGTGCCTCACTTGGTTAAAGTCTATCCTAAATACATAAATAAATCTATTATTTGATGGTCACATAATTGTTTGTAGGCTATCATCTGAACTTAAAATAATTGAAATTCAAGCCTACATTAATAAAAAATGAGAATAAATTATCTTGCATTATCACCAAAACGAAAGAATCATATAAAGTGTGCTGAGTCAAGGGAAAGTATGGTGAAGACGCAGGGACAGTGAAAAAAAAAAATCTTACACTAAAAATAAACTACACTAAAAAGAAAGAAACAATGTATTATTGTAAGAAATATTGAAAATACAATGACAATAACATTACAAGGCTGGCCCCCAGTGGTTGCATAGGGACGTTCAGAGAATATCACGCAGAATCAGTACAGTTGTTTACTATTGTACTGCATGAAAACCAACCAAATGTGACACACCTCTGCTGGAGAAAAGTTATTAACTATCACAAATATGTCCAATTAAATTTTACATTTGGTTAAGAGCACTGATAAACCATCTGTGTTAACATGAATGAAATACTTTCATGTTATATGTTGATTGCAAACAAAATAATTTACAGCTACTTTTCAATGGCTGTCAGTGGAAATGGAGTCAACATAAGCTCATTGTTTTAGCAGACACTGAGTGAAAGCTTGTTTCCTGACAGTGGTTTGTAAGAGTGAACACCTCCTGTTTAAAGGTATAGAGAAAGAAAAAAAGAAAGAAAGAAAGAAAGAAGAAAAATGACAGAGACAAATTAATGTCTAGATTAATCTGAATATCTCTCACATCTCATAAAACAGCAGTGGCTTGTATACAGTAAGTGTGGAATAGTCAGGCTTTTTATTGAAAAAAAAAACAACTAAAATACACAGTTGAACCAAATGAAACCTAACTATATCAAGAGTATACAGCAGACAGATTCACTGTTAAAAAAAACATAACAAAAACAAACAAATCGAACATCCCTGACACAACAGAATATACATAAAAGGTTGGTTAAAAATGGCCTGAAACAGATACAAGCTTGTGCTTGCTTAATGAACATGAACTTTACCTTAACTTAAAAAAAATAAATAAAAATAACAACAACAATATTACAGACTACACTGTAAAAAAAATGTTCACTCAACTTTTTGAGTTATCTTTTTTTACCTGGCTAAGTTGTATTTACTTAGAATATGAAGTATTTTCACCTTGAAAAATGTAGTTATTTGAATATATAAAGTTTTTACAATGGCTATACTGATTATTACCATGTTGCATCACAATGTAAACATTAAGCTAAAATTAAACAACCATAAATATCTTTGATTTTCTGGGAGGATGCACTGGTGATATTGCTTAATGCTTTAAAGGAAAGTATTGTGATTAAATCTTTGTTATATTAACTAAGAAACAATTATTGTTTTTTGTTTTGTTTTTTAGTCCTAAAACAGGAGAAAGCAACAAATCAAATCACTCTAATATGTTTAGTAAATATATAATTAAATATCTACATCAGCATTACATTTTTTATCTTTGGATGATGGATCAACTTTAAAAGTCAGTTTCACCTATTATCATTGGCAGATTTGCTTCTTTAAAATTGTCAGAAAATGTTTGTACATTTCTTACATCAATTTTAAAATATATTGCGAGATATAAATATATTTTGAGATGATAGTATGCTGATTTAGTTACTGCTTTGACATGATTACTGAAACTAAGGTCTGTCTCCAGAATCACACCAAGATTCCTGACTTGATTTTTAGTTGTTTGACCCCTAGAGTCAAGGTATGCATTCACCTTGAGAACTTCATCTTTGTTTCCAAATGCAATGACTTCAGTTTTCTCCTTGTTTAACTGAAGAAAGTTTTGGCTCATCCAACTGTTTATTTCATCAATGCATTGGCAGAGGGAGTCAATGGGGCCGTAGTCATTTGGTGATAAGGCTAGGTA